GAAATATCCCCACCCTCTGACTCCACCACCTCAACCAAGCTTCACAATCATCATAGCTGTGAACAGTATTAAATTGTTTGTTTAAAACATATACTGTGTGTATATCTATATAATATATAGTTTTCTGTCTGGTGAAAATTTTTTTCCTGGAACCTAACCCCCCCATTTACATTAATTCTTATGGGGAAATTGGATTCGCTTAACATCGTTTAACTTAAAGTCACATTTTTCAGGAACATAACTACAACGTTAAGCGAGGAGTTACTGTATTTCTCATATAGAGACTGAGGGAGGGGAGAAAGGCATTGATTCAGACAGGCTCTTGCATGAGTGCACAGATATGGGGAGAGAGTGCATGCCCCTTATAAGAGTCCCTTTTGTGCATGCCCCTTGTAAGAGTCTGTGAAAACTGCAGTCCCTGTCGGCAGCCACTACTCCTCTTGCTCATCCCTGTAGGCAGTGCCATGGATCTGCCACCTTGTCTGCACCAACCTGCAAGCAAGACCATGTACAGTGTGAAATATGGTGCAGCCCATGGGGCAACTGGACTTTCTCTGAGTTCTTCTTGGCGCTGTGCACTACTTCATTGCCTCCTCAATGTGGGCCAGTGTCCAACAGAGCTAATATAGTCCAAATAATGTAATAAGCTTTAACATCAGTGATTTGTGATACTTATATATGTGTCATCACCTCCCCGCCCCCCATGATCATATTAATTTGGTCCCCATCTCCCTCCCCATGCCAGGTCAAATGTGTGTTTGGTGTCTTCTCTTTACCACTTTGATTAACAACAGAAGTAGCTCTAAAATACATTTCTAGAACATTCTATTCACCCAATCCCACCCAACCACATCATCCCTGAAGCAAATAGAGACCGTGGTTATATGGAACAGTAATGTTAGAACAGCACCAAGATAAATACACACTCACTTTCATTTGAGGATATATGACTGCTTGGTTAGTTCCCACATTTTTATCTGTGTTGTTTAATTCCTTCCCTTGGGTGTAGGACTTGACATTTTAGTTCTGGATCACTTCATTGCCTACAGCAATGAGATTTGTAATCTCAACAACTAGCCTTGTGCTTTGGTTCAATCCCCCTGTATGATTGCTACTGTACTCTTCCAATTTCAGTGTCACCACAGATATCGATCATGGCTTAATTATACCAAAGGATGACATGAAGTTGTCACACGGGATGCTGACTGCTTGATGACTAATGCATGCTTTACCATTGCATTAACTGAGGACCACATAAAATTGCTTCACTAATTCAGAGCAGGTAAGAGATGTTTACTTCAAGAGGAATGTAAGGAGTATAAAATAGGAGCTGATTCTGTGGCCTCATTGTTATGCTGTGCCCATTGGTGGATTGTTGACAGTGATGATTGAACCTAGAAACTTTGGTTCTAAAAGCTTGAGGTGTAACCATCATACCTGCCTTCCCTTCATGTAGACTGTCAGCTCCCTGGGGCAGGGAACATGGGTTTTTTTCTCATTGATGTTTCATTAGCAATAAGAGATGTGGCAAGCTGGCAAGTTGTAATAAAGAGAGTTTTACTAAATGTGCTGAGAGACCAATATTACATACTAAAGCTCTAGAGTTTGTCTGTTAGCCACCTCACCCCAGCATGTGCTCTGGAGTCCTGGTGTTACTCCAGAGTAGGTCCCTCCTGAAACCAAACCCTTTTTCTCTAGCTCCGCTCATCATGCTACATTTGTAAAGCATCATGCACATATCTGGTACTACATATAAATGTTGGATCCCCACCACTTTAGTACTTCTCTCCTTAAGTTTCACTTCCTGAAACATTCATAGCTCTCATATATACTCCACGTCTTTCCACTCTTTCAAAGATGTCCTCCTGGTCACATGACTGAGGTTCATATCTCAAGATAAAGCAATATAATGTCTAGATTACCAATTTGATCTCATATTTATCATGCATCTGAAACAGTGATATCAGGCATACACTGGAGCTTCCACCCCCCATCAGTTTGACAGAAACAATTCTTTTATTTCTTTGCGTTCAAAGAAGCAGCACATTCTGCTGGTGAAACTGCTTTCGCTAGGGTGAGATTAGTGCCCAAGGGACAAAATTCACCCTATGCACAGGCCCAACACAATGATTACGCACCTCTTTAGTCCCATTTAGAGGTTTTAAGTGGACTTAAGAACTTTGTCTTTCTGGAAGCTCTGCTTGGCTCCCTTGACATTATATTGGCTTAGTTGACTCAGAGAATGATGAGAAATGCAATTATTCTCAATTATGAGAAACACAATGATAATGTTTAAATTTCACATACCAAAGTAAGGAACAAATTCATTCACAGGAGGCCAGTACAAGGCCCAAGGCACCACAAAAGCTGCACATAAAGAATACAAATGATGCATATGCCTTGTGTGGACCTTATGAAAAAGGCAAGCTTCGCCTTCAGTACACTGAAAAGCCATAGTCCACAGCCCTACTTCGGGCCTCACAAAAACAAGCGTTGCTTCATTGAACTCAATGGAGTTACACCTTTTTGCACCAGAGATGAACTTGGCCTTGTAATTATTGTTAAGCTATTTCTGTCTATGAATTCCGGGCCCCTGACAAAGATGGGATTTACTTGCCTACTGGAATAATCATGTATCTAATATTATTTCTCCTGCACCCTTTCCCCACCCTCACAGCTAAGTACCGATAGTTATTCAGAATACACTGTAAAAATGACACCATCAAGTAAAGAAACAAAAACAAAAATACTGTAAAAATCCACCACAGTACACAGTGTTCTTTTCTATATCTGGTTTGTTTGATTTTTCCATCCTACTTTGATCTAAATATGAGATTTCAGTCACTAAATAATCTCAATTTTACTTCTCTCTTTTCTTTCCCCTATGTAAATTAGTTAATAAAAATAGGTAAAGACTGACAAGAGAAGAATCATCTCTAAAGGCCACTAGTAAGGTCACCTCTGATGCAGAGTCACTAAACAATGCAAGAGACAGAGGAAGAGCATTCTTCCCTCAGACAATATACCGATGTATCATGGGAGCATGGGGGGGGGGGGGTGGAAACATGTTTATCTAGGCTTTCTTTAAGTGGAAGTCAACACATAAAGGGCATGCACATGCTGGACAATATAAACCATTCCAGGGCATAATTTATCTTTGTCATGTATCAATGGAACTGGCCTTTTTTTGAAAAGCAATTTAATTAATGAGATTACTAAATTTTTCAGTATGGTGAAGTGAATATATACAGTCTCCTACCTTAGAAGGATTTTTACACATTTTAATATAGGTTTCAAATACCAATATTGATCATGCAATTATCTGATTTTAAAAAAAAATCTAAAAAACAGAATTTCTCTAAAAGGAGCTAGAACTTTTTTTAAAAATAGTTAAAAATTAAATCATTATCTTATGTTTCAGCAGGTGTGTAGGGTCCCCCGCCAGCCCTCCTGCTTGAAAAACACCCTTATGCTGCTCAAAAGACCTGAGGCATTTTTTACCCCATTTATTTTTTTGGATTTTCCTCAGCCCCATCTGTTTATTTTCTATGGAGCAATCATAGTAAAGCAGATAGCCAAGATATAAAGAGCTGAGAGCAGGTGGGATTGGGAGATAATTTGTGATGCACAATGTTATGTTCTGAGAATATAACATCTCTGATCTGATTACTTGAATGGTAACCTAATTTGCCTGGTTTTATTCATTTAATTAAAACAAATATACATTGTTTGTGTATAAGAGAAACATTTTATTTGTGGCCAAATACTGCATGCCTACCTGAGGGGAGTCCAAAAATACTATATCAAGGAAACTTACTTTCTACAAAGGAATTGCCAGCTTATCTATTTTTTAAGTAAAAAATGCAGTTTCCTGAAATTTTATAGTCTATGGGCCTGATCGTCTAAGATATTGAGCCCCCTCAAATTCCTTTAAATTCAATGGGCTGAGGGGGAGATCTTTAGTTTGCAGGACTGAATTCAGCTGTAGGCCCCAAAGTACTATGCGAAGACCAAAGCAATCCTAAATCTTCTGTTGCTTAAATGTTTATAAGGCTATTTGTACATTAAATCTTATTAGATTGGATAACAAAACATTAGAGATATTATTTTAACTTCCCTTGCAGTGGAATACCGCAGGAGACCATGTGGTTATGCATGCAGGTATGTGTATGTATCTGTCCTATTTTAAAGCTAGAATTAAGTTGGATAATTTGCTACCTAAGGGTTTTCTATGGCAAAATGTGTAAGGTAAGCCATTTCAGATATGAAGACTGAAGAGACTTCTTTGCTTTGCTGGCTCAAAGCCAAAGTGCGATTCATTAAGTATCGTCTCACCACACCTGCAGAACTGTGACCATACGACTGGCTTTGCAGATGCCCCCCGGCCTACACAAAAAGCTGATACATGGCAGATGGCCATACTCCTAATGATAATAATGTGCTGCTGACTAAACAGGACACGAACCAATTAAGTAATGGCTTACACACTGTGAGGGTTCTCTAGGGTATGGTAATAACAGCCCTGCATTTGATCACCCATAAAGAAAAACCCACACTTCATGATTATACCTGCCAAGACTTTGCTAGTGAGAATTTGCAGACTCCAACTGCTGATAAAAATAACCAGATGAATCAGTTTGAATTCTACTGATTCATAGTGTGTAGGTGGACAAGGACCAGCTGATCTATAACAGTGTCATTGCCTTCACCAAAGCCAGTAAAGGTTTATTTTCTTTCATAACCTGAAGAAACACTAAGGCCCTGTCTACACTGCAGGGAAAAGTCGATCTAAGCTACGCAATTTGAGTTATGTGAGTAGTGTAACTCAAGTTGACGTAGCTTAGATTTACTTACCACCCACACTGCACAATGTCAACTCCCCCTACTCTTCTCAATCCAGCGGAGTACAGTAGTCGACAGGAGAGCAATCTGCGGTCGATTTAGCACGTCTTCACTAGACCCACTAAATTGATTGCTGATACATCAATCGCCATGTGTTGATCCCCCGGTAAGTGTAGATAAGCCCTAATACAAGTGACTAGTTAACATCACATACCTCACTTCTTAGGTTTAATCAAGACATATCCACTATTGCCAACCCCAAATGTTCAAAAATCATGAGTCAGGCTCACCAAAAATCATGAGATTGATTTATAAATAAATGAGATTATGGAAAAATAATAGATTTGGTGTTCTTTTTATTCACGGTCTATTTTTTGAGCCTTTACGGTGCACTGGGGTCTCATTTTGAAGCTTCCTCCACAGCCACGCGGGCTAGAAACTTCATTCTTAGAGGAAGGCTGAAATGATCACATCTCCACTAGACTCCAGGAGCTGGGGCTTTAAGGAAAACAATCATGGGAGGCATGACAAAATTATGAGAGTTGGCAACACTACATATTTTGAACTCCATCAGCTTCAGTCATTTGTAGCTTGGCTAGTTCCCTGCTGCCATCTCTCCACATTGCATATGAGTCGAGGAATTATTTTTTTTAATGACAGAGTTTGTGACTTCACAGGGTGTCTGCTTGGTGTACTCATACACATAGAATTTTAACATCTCAGGCAATATAGGTTTCCAGAAATCTCTTTTCAGAAGCACAACCTGGCCTCCAGGCTGCCAAAATGCCTGCCATCTCCACGTCTTTATTTCAAGCATCGTTCAAATGTATTTCTTTTTTTGATGGGGTCGGAGGAGAAATATATTTAAAAACATTGGCTTTGGTTCCATGGTGGTGCAAGGTAGCATCGAAGTGCCAAAGAAGAATGCAATTTTGATGTAAAGGTCTTTTTTATCATCCTGAAGTTATCCAGCAGTAGAGCAAGAAGTGTTTCTGTTCGGATAAAATAGAGCTGAGTCAGATTTCCACCCTATGCAACTCTTCTGAACTCAATGGGGAGTAAGTCCTCCTTGAAGGACTCCAGGTCCCACTCACAGTAATGGCTTCTAAAATGTAGGGCTGGGCAGCCAGACACTTGTGGGGTGACAGAATTTACACTTATAACAGTAGCTTTACCCTATCTCTTCATCCCTCTTGAGGAGGGGTGTATCATGGCAACATCGTGATGCCTAGGTACACTCAATCAATTTGGCTGTGGGACATTTCTCTTGAATGGGTCTTCTGTGTTACCAAAAAGTCAGCCTGGTTTTGTCCTAGTTCTGCCCTTAGATGGATGCAATGTGCATTGAGTTGAATTCTGGGCTGATTTGCATCCCTCCAACCCTATTATGCTGTTTATTTTTCTAGAGTTACTAAGTTTTTAATGAAAGATGCCAAAATC